ATTATCTATTGGATGAGTGTAGCCATCAACTACCAAATCCCATAGATCCAAGTCATATGCCAGAAAGTAAATTGATTATATCCTTCTAATAGTCAAATTTCTCCCCCTCAAACATAGGAGGTTTTAAACTATAGTGATCTCTATCATTATCCATATCATCAATATTGGAAGTAGGTGTAGCCATTGATTTTTCACACACTGGATCGATACTGAAAACTATTAAGTGTTGATAAAATGCAAACTTTTTATCTCCTTAGAATCGGAGCTTTGATGCCAATTGAAAGTGTAAAAAACACAAGAAGGGATTTGAATTGGGTTTTTTAATCAAAATTTTTATTTTAAAAATATTCCCCTTTAATTAAAATACTTTTTCCTTCACTCTTGATAATAACAATAATTAAGAACAGGAAGTAAAGAACAAAATATGTTTATATTAATTCACTTGAAAACTACAAGCTAGTTTAGCTCATCCGCCAAGGTGATTTCGTCTCTCTCAATCGAGGACTTAATCCAATAATCCAACTGATTATTATAATGCACAAGTTACCCACAAGTGACTAACAACCTCTAAGACACACAAGTCCTAGACTTCTTAAGGATACAGACCTAATCGGTCCCTTAAGGAAAATTAAACTTCTGAGACACACTAGTCATAAACTTCTTAAGGATACAGACCTCTGGTCCCTTAATAAAATCAAACTTCTAAGACACACTAGTCCTAGACTTCTTAAGGATACAGACCTAACCGGTCCCTTAAAGAAATCAAACAACTATTTGAATACAAGTTTTTGTTTACAATAATATTGCTTCTACACAAGCTGAATATGTAAACTATTTGAGAACAATGACTTAAGAATATGAAAGTTATGAAGAACGCTTATGCGTGGATATTTAGTGAAAATCTGCCGCTTTCTCTCTTAGTCTTCAAGTCTTTATATAGTCAATAAAATAATATATCTGTTGAGAGGTACTCTTGGAATTTCCAAAAATAATGGCAGCTTGAGCAATCACGTGGGGGACAAGATCATGCAGCACGTCTGTCCTTTCATGGTAGTGGAATGAAACATTGATTGTACCATGTACTATTTGTACCACATTAACGTTATCTTCTTTCCTTCTGTACTTCAGAGGCTTCTGTGAGCATGAGTTTAGAAGCGAGAACATAACACAAGATCATCAGAACTTCAAGTCTTCAGAGTCTTCAGCACTTGATCGTGAGAACCTTTTCTTAGAACATTGGGTCTTCAGAACTTCAAGTCTTTAGATTCTTTAGAACTTCTGTCTTCAGAGTCTTTAGCACTTGATCTTTAGAACCTTTTTCTTAGAACCGTGGGTCTTTAAAATTTCAAGCCTCCAGAATCTTTAGAACTTCGTCTATCAGAATCTTCAGCGCTTGGTCTTGAGAATCTTTTTTCTTCAGAAACATTAGTCTTTAGCATCTGGACTTAAGTAGAAACTTATGTCTTTAGATCTTCTTACTTGTTTCTTTATAACATGTTGTCTTCAGAAACATGAGTCTTTAGCATCTGAACTTAAGTAGAAACTTCTGTCTTCAGATCTTCTGACGGGTTTCTTTAGACTTCATATCAGAGCCTACACTTTAGAGTCTTCTGGAATGTCTTGCTACTGTTCATCAGGACTTATATACCGCAGAAACAAAAATAATTCTCTTCTAATGTCTTGGCCACGCCATCCATCAGAAACAAAATTTGTTTGTTAAATACTCAAAATTAATAAACATTAGAGTATTAAAATTATTCATACAAACATACTTATTTGTTATCATTAAAACTTAGAGATAATATTACAGAATCAAATCTTATTCTAATATTTTTTTTAAGTGAGTCACACGTTTATTTTATTATCCTTTCGCATTTTTTTAGAGAAAGTATCGTTAATCTCCTACTATTAGTTAAGTTGTTCCTTATTAGGTAAGTAGTTGGCTACTTGTTACTTAATTAATTAATTAATGAGGATAGTTAATTGTAGTTTTGTTGAGAGATAGTTAGACCAAAAAATTAAAGCATCCTGTCTATAAATATGGAGGATTAGAGAGGGGAGCATCCTGTAGTTTGAGAGGAATTGAGTCTTAAGGCATAGGGAGGTAAGTAGACCCTTAAAGGGGATTCTTCCGCATTTTCAGTATAATTTACCATATTGTTCTATCATCTTCCTAACAAGTACTTGCTCCATCTCAAATTATAACATTTCACGTATATTAACAAACACAATTAATTTTGTAGGAACAAAGAAATTATAGATATCTTTCGCACATGTTTATAAATAATAAAAATGGTTTTTATAATTATTAAAAAATTCAATCAAGTGTAATTAATTTTTTAAATTTTGGTAAAAACATTAATTAAATTTATGATAATATTTTTTTAATTAAATTTAATAAAATATTGGAAAATCAAATAAAGAATATATTAGAAATTAAATCATTAAATGATTTAATAATAATTAACTTTTAATTATAATAATGATCACTTAAAACATTTTTATTGTTTATTAATGTATCTGAAAGGTGTACATGATTTTACAATTCAGTCATTCATAAATTACATAGAAAAAGAAATTAAAAAATTGAAAGAAAGAATAGTAATATTTCCTCGATTCCTTAAGAATATTCCTTTTTAAGTATGGTTCTTTTTAATTGTAACTTTTAAAGTAATAATGATTATAGTTTTGTCTAAATTATTTCTAATTATTTATTGTCGAGAAAGAAAAAAAATATATTAAAATAATTAAAAGTCAGAGATATTATAAACAAAAGAAGAGTCATAATTTGAAAAGTAAACATAATTATTAACTTTCTTAATACAAGTAAACATAATTATTAACTTTCTTAATACGTGTAAAAAGTTAAAAAATCATAATTAAAAAAGAATTGATGAAGTACTAAAAGTGTATTTGAATTGACGGTAAATATAATTATTTTATATTTAAATACATTTATGTAAAAGAGAGTTAAACAATAAATTTTGATATAAAAATCATCCAAAATCAATTCTAAAGGCAGAAGCTACAAATTTTAACTTCAAATAAAATTAATTATAAAGACAGAATTAATTATACTTTTATCTAACCAAATATCTCAAAATCACTTGGAATCAATTCTTCACCTTTAGAATTACTTTTTGACCCTTCCAAAACCAAACCAAACATAACATGCACATTAATATTGTATTGGAATGAGAGAGTAATACCGTAACTAGCAACAACTTTGGTTTAGTGTGTGTTTGGAACTACAAAATCACCGTGAACAAACGTGCGTTTTTTCAACTCTACAACTACTAGCTTCTTTAAAATCGCGGTGGAAATGCATTGGGATTTGGAAATAGTCTAAAAAAGTGGTTCCAAACATACTCTTAGATACTTTTACAGAATGGACAAATTGCAAGTGGCTTTGGTGATTCTGCACTTGGACGTCAGAGAGGTCATGGTCTCGTGGAGGTGTTGATCGAGGCAGGACTGAAGATTGAAGATTGACAGATTATATTTGATGGAAAACACACACTACCACAAGACAACATTTATTCAATTGTCACAAAACCAAACCAGAACTATTTTATTCAATTGGCACAAAACCAAACCAGTACTATTTTATTCAATTGGCACAAAACCAAACCAGTACTATTTTATTTTTCCTTGAAATTAACTCAGTCAGGTAAAAAGTAATCTTAGTTGACTACAAAAAAAAAAAAGCAGATATAAAGTAGTTTAAGTTTAAATAAAAGAAAAGAAATATAGAAGCCATTAAGGCAATAACCTTATGACTCCTACAAATCCTAATGCGAGGATGAAACAAATCCAGACCATGTCAACCACTAGTTCAGAAGCTTCAAGCAGATCCAACTGACCTCCAGAGCTTGGCCCACTCTTCCATAGCATCAGCGGCTAGCGAAAACATAGGATCCACCTTCCCAAGTTGTTCCTTCACTAATTTGGCCATCTCGACCACGCAGTCCTCTGCAGTGATAGCTGATTGTGACAACCTTACAGACTGAAAGAAAGGAACAACGTCCTCCATCAATTTCACCCCTTCCCATTCTTTCTTCAAGCTGTCTATGGCATTGCCTCTTTCGGTTCTCCAAACATATGGCAACCCACTTTTCACACCAAGGGCTAGGTGGTCGCAAATAGCTTTCACACACAATCCACACCATATATCTTCCACAGTTTCCCACCTTAGTTTTCCTTCTCCTGCCAAAACCAAAGCCGGGACTAATGCTGGACCAATTGCTTCTCGGTTAAAGGCAATGTTGATTCCACTCACTGGCAACATGGCTCTCACAGGAACAGTCAGAACTGCATCCACATATCGTGAATTCCTCTGGGATGGCTTGAGAGCTTGTGTTGGTGCATCAAGGTCCGCGAGATTGAGCCAGAGTCCACACGACAGAGCACAATCAACTCCACTTCGCAGACTAAACGGATAACCGCGAACAAAATCTGCACCCTTACGGAATGGATCATATAGTGTATTGAAGAAGAAAGGAGTGGCAGGAGTCTTGAGGTTCACAATATGCTGAGCCACAACATCTACTAAATTCCCCGCATCATCTTTTGCTGGAACACAATCATCATCAATACAGACAACATACTTCTTCTTTGAAACTAGAAACCCAAAATATCTACAAGCATAGCCAGAGAAGCGAATGGAAGTGGAAGAACCCACCACTCGCTCAATTTCAGATTTTGTATAGACATCTGCGCTAAATCCATTGGGAATTTGGAGTTCTTCCTTGAGGTCAGGATCTTTGACTATTATCAGGTGGAAACGGGAGAAAACAGGCTTCCATTCATTCATAAAAGTTGTTAGGTCAGAGTGCAGTGCACCAATCACAATGTCAACTTCGTTGTCGTTGATAACTACTTGAGACATCTTTTGAGGTATACAATACAGATGATTTCACAAACCGAAAGTCTAGATTGGTCTCCTTAATTTAAAACTGATGAGTTGGATTCAAACTTCTGACTATACTTACAATCTTTTCTTAGAATTTCTCAGAACATCCTGTAAGATGATTTATTTCCAAGTCAAAAAAAGAAAAGTTTGTCACAATCGGAATAACTACAGTAAATAAAGAGTAAGTAGACATTTTAGTCACTGATATTGAAAATGCCAATCAATTTAGCCCCTCAGATTTGGGAAATAGTGATTTAATAAATTTAGTCATTTTCTCATATTTTGTACTACAATGTTAAAGGTTCTACGCTTGTTATGATGCAGCAAAAGACTATTTAAGTCTATGTTTGGATATTTCAAAACAAGCGGAGTGGAACATAGCAGATCATAAGGAATATCTCATTCCATTGTTTGGATATTTTAGGATGGAATGTAACAAAATGGTATTCCGCCCACAAAAATGAGTGTAATTAATAGAATTGGATAGAATGTATTCCATCATGTTCATTTCCATTACATCCTCATTTAATCAATCCAAATGAAGGAACATACCCTTATTCCATTCCATTCCGCTCCATTTCATTGCATTCCATCAATCCAAACATAGCCTAAGTCACTAATGTTTAGGAAAGAAATATTTTTATGGAGGTACTGAATTGATTGAAATTTCTAATTGAAGAAACTAAAACCGTTGTTTTACAAATTCGAGAGACTAAAGCGAGCAACTCTTGCAATTTCAACTACTAAAATGACAATTAAATCCATAAATATAATCTAAAAATATAAAACAACTCACTGGTAGGAAGCACAGGGGTGACAATATGTCGAATATTCAATGCCTGAACAAGTGAGATAACTTCGTCCTTACCGGTTGCTACAAACAGTTTGAGAACTTTTTCAGTCAGTTTTCCTGCTTTCAATATTCTCTGCACATGAAAAATCATGAAATCACATAAACAACAAACAAAAGATTAGACGACAAAAAATTGAAACCAGATCAACAATACAGCATCTCCAAATTAGACATAAGTAATTATAACAATACTACAACAAAGTAATTGAAATGGATCATTAACCCTAACCGTAACCCTAAATCTGAGAAAGGGTTAACTACCTATGAAGTTAGAGAGAGAGAGAGAGAGAGTTAGAGAGAGAGAGAGAGAGAGGTGAGAATAAGAATAGGTACGAACGAGGAAGAGATCGAGGAGGATGTGATCAGGGATGGGAGAGAGATCGGAGATGTCGGAGAGATTGTGAACGGCAGAGTCAATGGTGAGAGAAAGCAATGATGGCGGTGTTATCATTCATTCATTAGATTATAAAATGATGAAAAGCTATTTTCTCTCTGTTTTTGTGAAAATGGATCGAGATCCTTGAATTTCTCTGTGATGTTTCCGTCCTCTCCTTGTTCTCTCAAATTAACCTAACTGTTTATCGAACTAAATCCATTAACTAATAACCCGCATTAAACTAAATAAATTTTCTTTTTGCTCAAAATTATTATTAGGATAAATATTTTTCTTTTTTGAGTTTTTATTAAAAAAAAAAAAAGCGGTTGAAAATAATTGTTTTTGAATTCCCGGCTCTGGCCTGCTTTCAAGTTTGGACTCAGATTTTAAATATCACAAATGTTATTCCTACATCACAATTTGACACCAATACATACATAAATATTGTTTACGTGTGTGAATAATATAAAAAATTGATTAATTAAATGATGAAATTGCTTAATATACATTCAGATTTTAAAAATAATTTTTAATTTTTAATAATAAAATAAAATTGATTAATAAAATATAAAAAATTGATTAACGAAATTATGAGATTAATTAATAGACTATTCAGATTTTTAAAAATAATTTTTAATAATGAAATAAAATTAGTTAATAAAATATAAAAATTTAGTTAATAAAGTAATAAAGTTGATTAATTCAACCATTTTAAAAAAATAAATAAAAAATAAATAATATTTTTTAAAAATATTATTTTAACATTATAATATTTAAGTGTTCATTAATATGATAAACAATGAAATACAATGTAAGTGTAATTTTTAGTATAAAAATAACATTTTTCTTTAAATACAAGGGATTTTATTATTTTTATTGAGTTACTATTACCACCCTCCTTTTGAATAAATAATTTTAGTGTTTTTTTTCTAATACTCTAATATTATTCCTACCGAGTTTGTTCCAATTTTCAATGGTTAAAAATAGTTACCGGTCACAACTTTGGTAATGTGGTTTTACTAATATGATTTTTCTAGTTGCATGTTCACTTTACCTTTATTGTTAAAAATTATATTTAGTTACACAATTATCCGACCATAATTCTATTTACTTGTGACTTGTTAAAGTTTTAAAGGAATGTTCTAATAATGCACACTTAGAGAACAATAATGGTGATGTCTTGTTAGTTAAATTGGGATTGTTCGACTAAAAGTTTTAACTTTTTAGCAGCATTTTTCTTTAGAGTTTGATATTGTTTTTTAGAGTTGTTTGGTGAACAGTGAAATAGTGTTTATTACGGTAGACTTGAATTTTTAATACGGTAGAGATAATATTTATCAATAAAATTAATACTCTAACGTCTAGGTTAGTGAAAGAATTAATATGATGTGAGAGTGAGAATGAATTTGAATACTTTAGAATTGTGTGTTTTTCTTCTTAAATAGGGAGAACAATTTGAAACATAAAATGTAGAGTGGGTGTGGATCACCACGGTCAATTGTCTGATTGATTTGAACTATCAGTAGTGCTCCTGATGGCACAATTACCTATATCAGGGAGAATAGAGGTCTGCCTATTCTTCACGCTTACTAAATTTGCTCTACCATCATGTTTTTCGTCTTAGACCACATGGACGACACAAAACAATTTCCCCTAAGCCCTTTTGTTTGCTTGTAGGATAAAGGTTTGATATATATGCTTGAGCTCAACTTCTTGATCGAGGAGGTGAAAGTCTTCGATGGGACGTTACTATCATTGGGAATAGGCACATTCGATATCTTTCTTGTAATAGGTAATGTTTCACTATGAATAACTAATGTGTGTCCTTACGCTAGTTGCTAATGATGCTTCCTTTTCTCTTAGAGTACGTGCATATTTTGAACAATTTTTGAGGCAAACTCAATTGCTGGTAGTACGTAGTGGATCATTCGATCCATAATGGGTGATACACATATAAAGATTTTTAAGGCATCATTTTACTCCTATTTTTTTACCATTTGTGACCTGCAACATAATTTATTTCTACTCCCCTCTCCCCCGTCATTCTTTCTCGTGAGTTTTTCGTTCCAATTTTTTGGTTAAGTTCATATGTGATCTTCGTTTGTTGGTACTTGACATGTATAAGTAATTGATCCCTTTTGCTCAAGAAAAAGCCAACATCTTCTTTTTACTTTTGCCCATTTTCTAGAGTTTCCTGTGTAGTCAGCTTTTGATACCTCTGTTTCTCTTTCGAGAGATATCCTTTGTTGTTGACACCCTCTGAGAAGAATATTTGGGTTTAAAATTGCTTATTTACTCCATATTTTTCGTATTAGTCTCAGTTTCGCAGAGTTTCTTACAATGGGGATCACACCAACTATGCTTCAAAAGGAAAAAAGAGATATCTCAACCGAATGGGTGGATCGAGAAACATTGGATATCATCTCTACCTTTGCACATGTGGGTGGCTTAGAGAGTGTTGTGACTAATGTGGGGTCTTCATCTGATTGGGAGGGTGTTTCCACCATATGGACATAAGAGGATATGTAGTTAATATGACGGATGTTTCACTCTCTTCCACGAGTTCTTATTCTTCCTTATGGGTTTATATCATATAGTTAATGACTTTGAGGTCAGTGCTATGAATCACTTAATGATATCTCCTTCACAAATTTTTCCGGTGAATTAGGCGTTTGTCTAGGTTTTTCAATATTAGTGTGAATATAAGGGGACAAGCCAACTGTGTTATTATTCTTCTACCCCTTCAAGACTCAAAACAACATGGTTAATCAAATGAGTGGTCTAGGTTTGGTTTGGTTGAAGTTAAAGATAAGCTAATCTCGACTGACTACCCTATAAAGACAACGTCAACGTCAAAACTTTGGGGGATGGATTAGACATATTAGAAGTCACTCCAGACTTAATAGATTATAGGTATTTTGGAGATTTTTAAGTTTTAGAAATTTTTGCCATTGACATAATGTCGAATAATAATTGGCAAAAGCCCATAGTCAATTATTTGGGCAACCCAACAGGATCGACATATCGAAAAATTAAATACAAATCCCTAAGTTACATGGTAATGGGAAATGAGTTATTTAAGAAAACTCCTAAGGGGGTCCTTCTTAAGTGCATTGGCGAAAGTGAAGCATATTTAGACACTGTTGAGGTACACAAAGGATCATGTGGTTCCCATCAAGCAGGCCAAAAAATGAGATGGTTATTATTTCGATTAGGAGTCTATTGGGCAACTATGTTGAAAGACTTCATGGATTTCACAAAGGGTAGTCGGGATGCCAAAAGCATTTTGGAATTCAACATGTGCCTGCAAGTGATCTACACTATATCGTGAAGCCATGGCATTCTAGGGTTGGGCATTTGATATAATAGGCGAGATTAAACCTTCATCGTCGAAAGGATATATGTATATATTGGTCAGAATCGATTACTTTACGAAATGGATAAAAACAGTGGCTTTGCCTAATGTTGACCAAGAAGAAGTGGTAGGGTTTATTCAAAATCATATTATACATAGGTTTAGAATACCTGAAACTATCACTACTAACCAAGGAATAGTCTTCACTAGGCTAAAAATGGTGAAGTTCGTTGCGGAAATAGGTTTTAAACTATTAACACCAATGCCTTATTATGCCCATGCCAATGGCCAAGTCAAAGTTGCTAATATAATTATAATCAAATGGATTAAAAAGCATATTGGTCAAAAAACCCAAAAATTGGCACAAAACATTGAGCCAAGTACTTTGGGCATGTTTAACTTTCATAAAGAATCGCTAACCCCACACCTTTTAGACTAACTTATGGAATGAAGTAGTACTTCTGTTGGAAATACATTTGCAATCAGTTAGAATTCAAAGGCGGACATAAATTCCCACTGGATATTATTGGGGAATGATGTTCGGTGAGTTAGTTAATTTAGGCGAAGAAAGGTTGGCCGACCTGGATGTTTTAATTCAACAGAAAGAGCAAGTGGCCAAAGCATACAATAAAAAGGTTAAAGCAAAAAAATTTATCCAAGCGGACATAGTGTGGAAAGTCATATTACCTATGGATAAAAAAGATAGAACCATGGGTAAATGGTCCTAAAATTGGGAGGGTGTAGCGGTAAAATCAATGAAGTCGCCACCGAGTATTTATTCATCCCACATAAAGGGAAAGGAAAATCATCGAAGAAAAACCTGAAGGGAGAAATTAAGGTCTTGCGACAGAGAGATCGGGTACGGGAGTCGATTACGCGAGGGGAAGGTATTAGCACCCCTCACGTCTGTAGTACTATACGAGAACCACTCTTGTTGTTCTAATCAAAGAGTGTGTTCAATCTAATGCTTAAAATCTATAAAAACTATGAGGGAATGCATGCAAAAAAAACACGGGAAAAAGAAGGAAATATTTATAAATTTTTGCTCGGCTGAGCCCCGCAACCAGATGCCTATGTATGCCTTTTAAGGAATCAGAGCACTGTAGTTCGGCTCACAAATTTCTATTTGTTTGTATTTTTTAAATGAACATTGTTTAATTCAACCATTCCACGCTGCTCGACCATTGGAGACTCACGCACTATAGTGGAAAGGAATTTGTTGTAACTGGTTTTAAATTTGAGAGTCACCACCCTTAATTTTTATCCTAAGGAAAGGAGTATAAAGGATAACCATTAAAATTTAGATATTTTATGTTTTTTGGACTCGATCTTAGATGAAGGGAAGGTGTTAGACACCCCTCATCTATCTCGTTCACAAGGATACTAGGGTTTAGAAGCGCGATTTTTAGGAAATAAGGTTTTAATGTTTTATTAGGGGAACTCGCCACGATTTTAGTCGTATGCCTACGTATCCTCTTATGAGAAATCAGAGTCCCAATTCGTAGTTCGCTGTTTGGTTGGTATTTTTTATAGGATTGCATAGAATTGCTTTCGAATTATCCTTAAACATTGTCTGGGTTTAAAAAGTGAGTGATCATAGACGCAATTCACAGTTAATTTGAAAATAATTCTCCTTAATCTCCTTTTAAAAACATTTTAGTTTTTTTTGTTATGTTAGTTGAAAAATATTTAATGTTAGTTAGCTATATTAAACCATAGA